ATTCGGGAGCTGAGGTTTGCATCTGCCTTTCTGGGGGAGGACTCGATCAACCTTACCCATCTGCTGGCTCAGATTATGCTGTCCTCAGTTGCAGCCAAACATGCGTTGTGGCTTCGGCCCTGGTTGGCCAATCCAGCCTCTAAACAGGCATGGTGCAAGATTCCTTTTGAGGGTTCTTCCCTGATTCGGAACAAACTGGACAGCGCTATAGCCTGGGCTACTGGCAAGAGGTCCGGTTTCCTGCCTCAGGATCAGTGTCTTCTAGGCCAGAAGAGGGCTCAGCCCAGAAGTTAAGGCTCAGAACGTGCAAGGGACACAGGCCTTTACAAGCCGGGCCGTGAATTTAAGAGAAGCTGGAGGAGAAGCCGGTCATGTTTTTAGAAGTCCTCAAAGTCCTCCTCAACCTCTGGTGATCTTGAGGCCTGCCCTGCTCAGACAGGCCAGGTGGGGACATGCCTTCATCCTTTTTGGTATGTCTGGGTGGAATCAAATCTGGGACTTCTGGGCCATCAGCACTGTATCTTCATGCTATTGGTGCATCTCAGCTTTCGGATATGGTTCCTCTTCCTCTAAAGCCAGACCTGTTGTCAACGGAGGCCATTCTTCACCCTTGCCCAGCCCGGCTTCATCTAATGGTCTGGTTCTTGACAGGGGGCGGCTGGAGGCCTGAGGCTGTCCAGGTTGAAGTCATCCCTACCCTGATGAAAGCCAGGACACCAACAGGTCTATGGAAGAGTCTGGTCTAAGTTTGTGGACTATATTTTGGCTGTGGGTGTATCCTATAGTAATCCAAGGGTTCAGGATGTCCTGGGACTCCTACAGTCAGGCCTGGATCTTCCCCTGTCGTCAGCACTCTCAGGGTTCAAGTGTCAGTCATCTCGGCCTTCACTGGAGTATCATGGGACGACCACTCTTATCTATCAGTTTTTTCAAGAGGGCGGTAAAGTTGAGGCCCCAGAGAAAACTTAGGTTCCCTAAATGGAACCTCCCGCTTGTCCTCGACTTCTTCACTGGAATAGTCGCAGACTCAGCTGGTTCACCCATAGTTAGGGAGCTCTCCATCAAGGCGGCCTTTCTGGTGGTGGTTACATCACCAAACAGAGCCTCTGAAATCGGGAATCTTGGCTGTAAAGAACTGTTTTTGACATTTTTCCTGGATCTAGTGGTCCTCATCCCTATGCTAGGTTCTAATCCTAAAATGTGACCTCGTTCTTCCACAAAAAACTAGGAGATTGTCCTGCCAAAGTTTAGGGCCTCTGAAGACAATGACATTCACCCCTTGGACATAGGTGAGACTTTAAAGCTGTACTTGCAGGTCACAGCATCCTTCCATAGGTCAGTCTGCTATTCATCCTTCTCCATGGGAAGAGTAAAGGAGATCAGGCTTCTTCCAATAATCGCAGCCTGGATTGTCCAGGTCATCCAAATGGCCTACAGAGCTAAGGGCTTGGCTTCTCCAGAGGCGGTGACCACCCACTCAACCAGAATTGTGTCTACGTCCTGGGCGGCTTCCCGGCATGTCACCCCTAAGATGATCTGCAGAGCGGCCTCATGGTCCTCAATCAACACTTTTATGGCTCATTACTGTGTAGAGCCTGCTTCCTTATCCTCTGGTAATTTTGGTTTGAAAGTCCTCTTGGTTGATGGGGCAAATTAAAGTCTTTGTTTGAGTAACTGCCCACCCATGTGTGTATTGCTAGTTATTTTCCATACGTATGCTGCCATGGAGTCTGTCAGGAAAATGTAACATTTCCTATCAAATACTTAATGTTCATTTTCCTTTCCTGATGGACTCCATGGCAGCAGGAATACCCTCCCAATGCTATGAGTAGGCTAGTTATGGAACATGGCCTCTTGTGAGGAACAAAAATTTATGGGAGTGGATGGGAAATGAGAGGGTGGGCTAACCCATACGCATATGCTGTCATGGAATCCATCAGGAAAGGAAAATTACATAAAGTATTTGATGGGAAATTTTCAGTTTTTCTGATAAATCTGTTGGGATATTTAATGCTGAGCACTGTGTATGCTTTATCAGTGGACTGTTGGGCTGCTCATTAGGTCTATGAGGTTAGACAAGTTACAAAGTTGCATAGTTAGTCTGGCTGAAAAAAGACAAAAGTCCATCCAGTTCAACCATTGAAAAAAAAAAAAGTTATAATCCTATACCCACAGTTGATCCAGGGGAAGGCAAAAAAAACCCAGAAGAACATGATCCAATTTGCTCCTGCTGGGAAAAAAATTCCTTCCTGATCCCCCGAGAGGCAATCGGATATTCCCTGGATCAACTTTACCTATAAATGATAGTATCCAGTTATATTCAGTGTATTTAAGAATGGATCAGCTAAGTTTAATGATCAGCTAAGGAGCATGTGATCTTCTACAGCAGCCCAAAGAGTTATTATTACTCTATGAAATGTTTCCAGTCTCTAAGACTTAAAATTTCTGAATTGCCTTAGCATATCTGTATTACACGAAAAGTCAAGAAATCAAGAAAATTAACTATTTTGTTTTAAATTGCTCCATTCAGTTGCAACCATAAGAAGACCATATTATCCATTAGATTTTCTTACCATTACAAGGGTCTAATACAGGAATGGAAGTTGGACCCAATAAATCAGTGTGTATAGTATAATCAGTGTGATTATTCAACCATACTCAATCAGGTTCCTCTAGAGATTGTTAGGGGGTTCTTGAGCTTCACCAACGGATGGTGCCTGCAAGTTCTGGTGTCAGTGCCACTTGGTACAACCAGCTTCATGGCACATTTTAGCTGTAGCAGAGGGGCAGTTTCTTTGATGACAAATGCTTTTTCCCTGACCCTTAAATTGGTTTTATTCAGTTTCCTCAATAAATCAGTGTGTATGGTACAATGGCAGGTGCAACCATTCTCAATCCTCCTGGGCTAGAGGTTTCTTGAGCTTTGTAATTTACCTTCCATTGACACCTGCATAGATCCAGGGCCACACTTGGTACAACCAGCTTCACGACACCAGGGGTCTTTTTGACCATTCTGATCACTATTGTAAGAGAAGTATTCTTTTCAATGAGACCAATGCAAGGGACATTTTTCCCACTGACCCCTAATGAGTTTGCATTAGTAGGGTTTCCCGATACCTGAAAATTTTTCAAGGGTTCCTCTGGGGTTGGAATATAGAAAGTCTGGATTAGATCATCACTATAGAGCAATATCATTATAAGAAATAAACAGAAAGATGATTTTCCCAACTGTTTATTCCAGTCAGAGCCTTTGCTATTGCTTGATTTAAATATAACGCCTAAAGTCATTAAAACCTTCAGTGTCAAAAGTGATACAACAAACCTGATTCTAGATGCTGCATGATTGCTTATAAATTCTTTTTTTTTTTTGCAGCTGAACACAAGCAATAAGGTTTTCTAATACAAACAATTATATTTTCCTTTCTCAAAGCTTGTCGTTTGTGTACTGCGAAGGGTGAGAACCACAATTTCAATACCACTTTGAAGAAACAAACTTGTGAAAAACTTGTGAAAATATTCAGTGTAAATTACATATAAAATAAGTTTATTGTCTGTAAGCTAAGATAGAAACCCATAAGAAAAAAACAGACTCAATGAATAAGTTAAAGTGTATCTGAACTCAAAAACAAAAATATAAATATACATATGCAGCTTACAGTCCGAGGATGTGGTGGTTGTTTTTGTGTTTTTTCAGCCTTCTCTTATTTATTTTTTTAACTGGTGATCCTGTCAGTAATACACCTTATGTCCTAGGGTGACAACACTCCCTCTTCATATTGTATCTATGGAATAGCAGCATTGTCAACCTAGGCTACTCTCCTGATTTGGACTAAAAACATATCCTACTCTCTTTATCTCCATTACAGGTAGGGTGGGGGGGGGATTGTAGTTTACAGAAGACAACTTGGAAGGAAGACAGCATTGTTTGAGATTCAATTTTACTTGACAAGAAGTGAGAAGGACACTGGTTTTCTGTCAGGATCAACAGGTATTTTGTATTTAACTTGAAAAAAGAAACCTATGCAGCTACCACATCTAAGGACTGGAAACAACATTATACAATATTTTTGTTCTTGGATTTAGATACATTCGATTCTTTGGAAAACCACAAGGAAGGCCTAAAACAATCTTGGGAAGGTGTTTGGTGTCATTGGCCATGTACTTGACAAATAGTCAAACTCATTAAACAATAATAAATATATTTTTAATGGTACCTGTTGTCAGTTTAAGACATAATAAACTCTGTCAGGTCAGATGGTAGGTTCAGGGCTTAAAAAGTTTGGTTTCTATTAGAAGTTAGACTTCCAGAGAAATTTTAAAAACCAATATAACAGAAAAAAATATGACTTCCCAAAGCAATGTGATAAAATAATTAAAAAATAAAAAAAATCTTAGAATAGGTAAATCGAGTGCAAGGTCTTTGATGAGGAGGCTTTCTTCAAATCTCTTAGCTATGACCTTGGTCTTTGGCTTTCACCTGGACTTTAGGCCTAAATTACAGAGTTGACTTTTATGTCCTCATAAATCATGTAAATCATGTATTTAGGCCTTAAAAGGGAGCTATTATTTTAGTGCTTGCCTATGAATAAAAACTGCATGCATTGCAAGCTCTATAGAAAATCTTGAATATTAATGGGGATACCCCAGGATCTTGTTGCCTAAATACCATGATAGTTATTAGACTTCAGTGAGCATAAAAGTGTACAAATACTGGATAACCAAAAATATAGTCCCATCTAACAAAGGACATTTGAGGCTGTGCTGACAAGAAAGGATTTAACAGTCTCTTTAAGTTTGAAAGCACATATAGACCCTGTGTGTTCCAAAAGGTGACCACAACATGTAAACTGCTTCAGAGGGAGGATGGGTGGAATTCTTAATCCACTTCTTCAATGGTGGGTCCAGAAGAACCACCAGCTGCAGTGCCACCAGCTCCAGGAAATCCTCCAGGCATTCCACCAGGCATCCCACCAGGCATCCCACCAGGCATACCAGCTCCGCCAGCACCTTGGTACAGCTTGGTGATGATGGGATTGCAGAGGTTTTGGAGCTCCTTCTGCTGATGTTCATACTCCTCCTTCTCGGCCATCTTAGCAGAAAAGACAGAAAGATGCAGATGAGGACAGTGGTTGGTAATGTTCATGGTGCAGCAATGAGCAAATCATAGAAAAGAAGTCACATTTGTGGAAGCAGTTGTTTTAAATTTCAAAAACAGAACCTAGAACAAGCCCATTTACTAGAAGTTCAGACTACTTGTCTTATTGATTGCAGGACAGAGTAGCAACCCTGTGCAGGATTCAGGTCAATCCTAGCAGGGGCTCACATCGGGCTATGTCTTTTCAACCAATCACCAAGCATGAATACTGTCACATGGGAGTAAAGCTAGTGAATCTAATGTTCTCTCACAACCAAAATACCTGGGTATTACCCTCAACTTTTCCAGGTGAACAAAGAGACAAGGGAGCAAGGGGAAAGCAGGTGTAAGCTGCTGTTGGGAGTACAGGGCTATATTTAACATGTTTCTTTGCCTCCATAGGCAAAATATAGCTTCACTAACACAAAATCCTTACTTTCAGTTTTTTATACCCAAATGTCTTTTAGGGGTTCTCCACATTCCAATAGTTATTCCATTTACTTAGAATCAGAAATCAGAGGACAGTGTAGATTATTACAGTTTATGTGGACATTCCATTTGCATGTTGCCAATCCAATGTCTATTGACCCAGCAGATGCTCAGTGGATAACTGAGGGAGAAGGGAATACATGATAGATTAAACACATTAGAAAACCTGCTCCAATCCCTAGTGCTTACCACAACAGCATCTGAATGCATCTTTCTTCTCTCTATAAGTATAGGATTGAATGCCTAGCTGAGCCAAGAACTAACTAAAATTTATAGAGCAGCTTGTGGACAGCAGTGGGCACCTTTAGGCCCTTGGAATAAAATTGAAAATCGCTTCTCGGACTTTTGGCTAAGATCAAGTGTAGTATCTATTCTTATAAGTGTCTAGTAGGGGTGCTACACCATAATTGTGGTCTTCTGGCTGGGGAAGCTGGCTGTACAGTATCCCTGCTTGTATAATAGGCTTACTGAGGAACCTTTCCCGTGGGAAGAAATCCAAACTAAGCTCCCACTGGGTAAGGTGGGGGTCGGTAATACCTTCTTCCTTAGTGTAAAGGATTCTTTGGGGCCCTGTGCCTCTTGATTTCAGCAGAACTGCCTAGTCTGGCTGAGGGTCTAGAAGGCAGAGAGCCTGTGGTGTCAAGCATCCGCTAGGAGTGGCTACCCAAGAGTGCTCTTAGTATCACTATAGGTCAAAACCCACTGTGAGAACAAGCACTAGGCCATGACACCACTTCTTTTTTCTGCACCTTGACTCATAGGCTAGGCCTTGTGGACTGTAGATCTGGGTCTTCAGGCCTACTCTGAGGTCTAGGCGAAGATCAGGTTCCTTCCTCCTTGGGGGGGAGGATATCTTTGCAGGAGACCCCCCACCCTGTATTAGGCACCCAGTAGGTTCTAGCCATGAGCAGAGGGTTCTTCCTTTTGGCTAGGTGGACCAAAGTGTAATTGCCCTTGTTAGGAGCCTTGTACTCTGGGGATGTCCTTCCTCTTCAGAAAGGAACTAGTGACACATTCTGTGCAATTTTTGTGTTTACGTCATGTGCACTGCTTTGGTTCACTCTTCGTTTTTTGATTTTTTTGCAGGATCAGAAAAAAACAAAGGGAACATGGTAGTGTTATTACCATTGGTATGAGTAGATATTGTATAACAATGTCAACCATTTTATCTAATGCTTTGCAATAGCTCCAAAGTGGAAACAAGTCTAACTACTCACTATATTACAAGCCTGAAATTGATTTATTACTCCATTCAACAAACTGACCACTCCATCCAATGTACAAACCTTCTAACGCATTTTACTCTGTAGGAGGTTACTCATACCATACGAGCATCTTATTTGATGATTGACATGGTTATACAATAACTGTTCAATGACTGGTCATTACTAGTCAGTGATAAAGTTTTGCTGTTCCATACACAGGAACGTATCTACAAGAATTAAAACTATCTAGTCTGCAGCAGTAATCATTGTCAATGACTGTTTTGAAAAATGTGTTAAAAAACAATACTTTGTTTAAAGACTCCACCCAGGTTATGTGTGACATTATTTACAAAAATAAATTGTTCATATGATAATATAAACACATACCTGGTTCCTGTCTAACCAGGAGATGACCTCATTACATTTGTCCAATATTTTCTGTTTATCGTCTGAGCTAATCTTGTCCTTCAGCTTCTCATCCTCCACAGTGCTCTTCATATTGAAAGCCAAGGACTCCAGAGAATTCTTGGCTGCAATCTTATCCCTCTGGGCTTCATCTTCAGCCTTGTACCTATCTGCTTCTGTGACCATACGCTCAATCTCCTCCTTGCTGAGACGGCCTGCCGGAAAAGTTTATACACATACACTTTATTCTAAATGGTATAAAATATTTAATTGGTTAGGCTTCAATGTTTAAAAATGTCCTTTTTTAACAAAAGACTGAATTTCCAAGACATTGACATACACATTTTGTAAGAATACAATAATAATGTCACTTAATAGGTCAAATTCAAGCCGCATGGGCTCCAGTGATGTGCATTAGAAAAGTGTGTGCATGCTTGATTTCTAAAGTGCTGACCTGCATTTTCCACCTTTTTGGCAAATGAAAAAGGGAAGAATTTCCCAAGACTGCTGTACTGTAATACATACTTTTTTTTATTTTAACTCACATTTAGGGTAAAATACATTATGTTACACATGAACACGTACTGTATTATATATATATAAATCAAAGGAATCTGAGGCACTCATAGGAGGTATAATACAAAAATAGTGGTAGTTTAACTAGCATAGTAAATTACCACTATTTGAATTTTACGAGTCCTGAGAGTTCCTTAGATTCCTTTGCTGTCTCTTGTCTCTGAATGCTGTAGGTTGCACCCAAAGTTCATGCTCCAGTTTACTGCTGTCTGCCATTACAGATAGATAGATAGATAGATAGATAGATAGATAGATAGATAGATAGATAAAATAGAAAGCTAGAGCATGAAGTTTGGGTGCAACTTGCAAATACAGTATATATAGAAAAATACAGCGTGTGTGTATATATATATATATATATGTATGTATATATATATATATATACTGTGTATATATATATATATATATATATATATATATATATATATATATATATAAATTTATTTTTTATTATTTAACTCATTTTTATGGGTGTATGCAAACATTACACATGTACAGAACAAAAAATTAGTTTTATTTAATTTCCTTAAGTTACTAAGTTTCATTACATTCGTAACGAAATTCGTTTTGTTTCGTTTATTTGTTTTCGACCGAATTCTAAATTTTTCCAATGGATTCAAAGTATTTGTATCAAATACATTCAAATTCATTGTGAAGAATAGCTGGTTGTTAATGAGCGGGGCGGCATGCCAGCCATGGCATCCAAACCAGCGTAACATTTAAAAAACAAAACACTGAGGGCATCCCCACCCAATCTATACCAGACAAATTTTAACAAAAAAACCCCAAAAACCATGTCCCCCGAAGTAAATCCAACATGAAAGCCGTCCCCTGTAAAAAAAAAAAAAAAAAAAAAAAAAAAAAAAAACAGGTCCGCACTCATCACTTGCCTCCCAGCATCTGACAGCTTCAGTTCCCACCAATGGTAAATAAACAAAGGGGAGGGGTCACCTGATGACAGGTGACCCCACACTTTTGTTTATTTACCATCAGCACTGGGTACTGGAACTGTCAGTTGGCGGGTGCACAAAGGTGCGAGGTCACCCACTATTACCAATGGCCACACCCCTTTGTTTATTTACCATCTGTGGGAACCAAAGCTTTCAGGCGCCAGCAGGCAAGTGACGAGTGCAGACCTGTTTGGCGGTGGCATCGTCCATTGTTCACATGGGGGAGCAGGATGTGGGGGCCCCATTGTAAAGCCCCCTTGTCCCCATGAACATGGGGACAAGGTGCTTTTGGGGGGACCCCTGCCCAGAAGCACCCCCCTTCAGGTCATATGGCCTGGTATGGTTCAGGAGCAGGAACAATTATGTGACAATTATACTAGTACAGACGAGATACATTTTGGTTTGCGTGACACAATTGAACTTGTTGGTGCCTTCATGAAATTGTTAAGCCTTGGTCATTACATACTTTCTCTACTAACCTTTGTCATTGGTAATGGTGATCTTATTTTCCTTGCCGGTGCTTTTGTCTACAGCAGACACATTCATAATTCCATTGGCATCAATGTCAAAGGTCACTTCAATTTGGGGAACCCCACGTGGAGCAGGTGGGATACCGGTTAGCTCAAATTTTCCCAGAAGATTGTTGTCCTTGGTCATCGCTCTTTCACCTTCAAATACCTGCCAGAAAAGACAGGAAAACTATAGGCTATTATTCTGTGGCTTTATAGATGCCAACCATGTTGGCAGTTCAGTCAAACAGAATTACTGTTACCCAACCAAATGATCAGAAATTTGTGAGGGGTGTTATTTTTCATATATTTTCTGTCTATAATTATGAAGCATGGAGTACAAAGGTTCACGTTTTTCAGCTGTCATCACAGAACCATTGGTAAAATTGGTGTGCAGTTTTTACAATTAAGGACATTTTTGGCAAAATTGATTTACAATTTTCCTGTGAAACAAAATGTTGCCATGTAGACAACTTGAGTGAAATTTGGCAGAAAAAAATTGTTTTGTATTCAAACAAAGAGCTAATTTGGTGATTAATGCCTTTGTGGATAAACCCCAAAGCTAACCACTGCATTAAACCCAAACCCTTTCTAGAGAAGCAAAGGGTTAGAGTTTATAGTTGCATTTTTCTCTTCTTCAGTGTCTAACACCATGTTCTTAAACCAACAGGTTTTTGGTACACAAACAAAATCAGGATCAGAGATTCCATAACACTCAGAAGCCATTTGAAGCCAATCAACAAAACAGTATTTCTGGAATGAAAACTTTGGTGTTTCCATTGAGAGATTTCCCCTCTATTGCTGTTCTGGTGAACTCAAAATTCTGGATTTCCCATAACTTTTACTTCTAGTAACAATGATCAAAAGAACGAATAAAGAGGGTAAAGTTTTATTTTCTTGAGTGCAACAAGTAAAAACATTTATTCTGGACACACATCAGTGGACTGGCACTCCCATCCTGTACTCCCACTTCATGGCTTTACTAGAACCATAAACATTTTTAGAAGAGGAGATCCCCTAACCCTTGGGGACCACTTAAAGCCAACTGCACCCTTAAAAACAAACAAAAAAAGAATATCAGAAGCCAAAAACTTTAGTTTCTCTATTGAAATATTCCCGCCTATTGCTGTTTTAATTAACTCAAAATTTTGAATTTCCCATCACTTTTAATTCTGGTAACAATGGTCAACAGGACAAATAAAGAGGGTAACTCTCACTAACTTTTATTCTATTAAATATAACAAGTAATAGCATTTATTCTTGATACACATTAGTGGACCTACATGTCTATCCTTTACTCTTACTTCATGCAGTAGAACCGTTTTTGTGGTTTCTTTAATATAACCACACCTAAAATTCCAGCATTAGTCTGCCTTACCATGATATAAGCCATAAAAAACAATTAGGGCACTATACTTTTATTAAAAAAAGCTTTAGATTATTTAATTTTATCTTAATAGTTGACTCAAATGCATTTTACTGAATGGTGAAATTTCACCAAATTATCCATATTTTGGGTTCATCCCTATTTAAAATTTCGATTATCACACCTGTGTTTCTACCTGAAATTATTAGCTATACTGGTCTGTCAGCACCCATTACCTGAATAAGGACTCCTGGCTGGTTGTCAGAGTAGGTGGTGAAGGTCTGGGTCTGCTTGGTGGGTATGGTGGTATTACGTTTAATTAGCACAGTCATGACTCCTCCAGCTGTCTCTATACCAAGAGAGAGAGGGGTGACATCCAACAGCAGAAGATCCTGAACATTTTCCGATTTGTCACCGGACAGGATTGCAGCTTGAACAGCTAATATAAGAAAAATAAATAAATACCAGAACATCAGAGGAATGGAATTTTAATCATTAAAAGTAACAAGAGATTTAAAGGTTATTTGGAACATTAATTAAATGTAAATACTAGAAGCATCTTTACAGGTTGCAAAGAGTGTTAATATCTACACAACTAGCAGGTTACAATGTATATTTGTTCACAACAGCCACAACAATAAATGATTGTCGCTTGCTGTGGGTTACTGTATGTTGCTCATTACTGTCTAATTTATTTACTTAAAGCTGGAGCTGAACTTCAAATAGAAGCTAAATACACATATATATTTTCTGCTATCTGCCAAATGATTTTTCATTCTGTTTAGCTAGTTTTGTGATATACACAAACTTGACACTGCAGTAAGAGGAGGGATGTAGCGCATTATTTTACAAATTGCCACTGCCAAATATTATGGCTAAATCAATCAAGTTTACTATGGGGGTGCAATGGGATATTTTGGGAAGAGATAGAATCCCTGTAAGGTATTTGTTGCTGTGTATGACACCCATTCAGGAGATTTCCCAATGTCTTGGTATTAATGTATACAGAAGTGTGGAGAAAACTCTCCAGTGTGGACAGATGTCGATTATAAAACTTACAGGTGTCCTTGCTAGAGATGGGAAGGCCTAGATAAAAATTGAAAAATAGGGAAAAACGGGTTTTTTTTTCTGTTTTTTTTTCCAAAGCCATTTTTTTTTCTGGAAAAATTTTAAAAAAAAGGAGTGTGGAATATGTTCCACAATGATAAATAATATGTCTGTGACATGGTATTCAAACTATATAACATGATAACATGGGAAGGCCTTAATGAAAGATTTATGAGACTTTATGTAAGTCCTAAATTATTGCAAGTTCTCTCAGCTGAAGACCAGGGAATCCTGGAATACAATTCAAGCAACACTGTACTTCTCAGTGCAGTTCTCAAACAAGATAAATATGCATTTCTGCTACTAGGGGGCACTGTATGGGAAAGGCTGCAGTGTAGCTTTTCTAGAAAAACAAACAGGGGAAATTTTTTTTTCCCATGCCATAAACATTTCCAGAAATTGTTCATCTCTAGTTCTTACCGTTCCCCACTTTTACTCAAAACTAAAAAAAAAAAGCTTTGTCAGGGGTTGGCATTAAAGTGTACTGTATCTAAAACCAAAACTTATTATGTTTTTTTGGGTAGAGTGGAGAATTGGTAGAAACAGGGGCCAAGCGGGAAAAATGGGGACAGTTGTTCCAATGATAGATGTTTCAGAAAGATTTACCTTACTTTGGAGGGGTTTAAGTACTTACCTGAAGTTAATACTCCCTATTGGGACAAAAAAACTGACAATTGTTTTAACCATTTACTACTCTGTTCAAAACAAAAAAAAGTTTTATTTTCAGATGCTTACTTTAACATCTGGATGCTGCATTGCACATGAAGCTGTGTCAATAATGAGACTGACAAAGTAGGGTTTTTAATTTATGGCAGTACTACTATTTAGGCCACAAATATCCAAAATCGGCACCATGCCATTTTTTTTATTTTGTTAATTAGTAGGATAGTGCTCAGGTGTTATACATTTCTGTACATAGAATATAAGACTTACCTGCTCCATAGGCTACAGCCTCATCTGGGTTAATACTTTTGTTGAGTTCTCTTCCATTGAAGAAGTCCTGCAGAAGCTTTTGGATCTTTGGAATGCGAGTGGACCCTCCAACTAGTACAATGTCATGAATCTGAGCCTTGTCCAGCTTGGCATCTCTCAGAGCCTTCTCTACTGGCTCCAGAGTCCCACGGAAGAGGTCTGCATTAAGTTCCTCAAAGCGGGCTCTGGTGAGGGAAGTGTAAAAATCTATGCCCTCAAAGAGGGAGTCAATCTCAATACTGGCTTGAGTGCTGGAAGACAGGGTACGCTTGGCGCGCTCACAGGCTGTACGTAGCCTACGAATGGCACGCTTGTTCTCAGTTATATCTTTCTTGTGCTTGCGTTTGAACTCTCCAACGAAGTGGTTTACCATACGATTATCAAAGTCCTCTCCACCCAAATGAGTGTCTCCAGCAGTGGATTTGACCTCAAATATACCATCTTCTATGGTAAGAATGGAGACATCAAAAGTACCACCACCAAGGTCAAAAATCAAGACATTTCTCTCACCACCCACCTAGATGTTTACAGAGAAGAAGAAAAGAGATTCACATTTACTCTTGGACAAAAGCATTATGTACAGTTTATTAGAGAGGATGTTGCTAGTGAAAAGTATTACAGAAAATGTATATTGTATGCTACATTCTCTTTTACTTTGGTCAAGAAAAATAAAGAAATAAATAAACAAGTCAGATAAATTTCAAAAATTGCATAATAATATGCTATAATTTATTGTATTTTATTTTGCAAATAAATCCCTTGACCTTTTCACTTTTCCTCCCATCTCCTCAGAGCCTTCAGTTAAAGCAGTACTGCAAGGCAGCCTGCTACTGCCATGCAGTCTCCTTAAGAAACTCTCAATGCTCTGAGAAATGTTTTGTCATGTATTAAATGTTTATTCATAAAACAAAGATTATATATAGTGTTAAATAAACATGCAATTTTCTACATAATTAAATTTAAAATTGCCCACGGTATTATGAGTATCCTCAATAATTATATGTAATGAGTTGCCCCGTTAAGACAGCTGCTGATGCATTTGAAAAATCGCTGCGCCAGTACTATGTGACATAAAAAATTGCAGCACCCACCATTTTATTCACTTGGGTGTCTGCTTTAAAAAATATAAAATGTTTGGGGGTTCAAAGTAATTTCCTAGAAAAAAAATACTGATTTTTTTCATGTGAACAAAAAGGTGTTAGGCTTGGTCTTCAAGTGGTTAGAAGAGTGAGTGATGTGTGGCATAAACTTCTAATGCTGGGCATAAAATGCCCCTCCCCTCCAAAATGACCCCTTTTTTGGAAAGTAGACACCCCAAACTATTTGCTGAGAGGCATGTTGAGTCAACAGAAGAATTTATTTTCTTACCACAACTTTTTGGAAAATTACAAAAAAAAACTATTTTTTTTTTTTTTTTTACACAAAATTGACACTTAAATTATTTATTGCTCACTCATGCCATGGGTATATGTGGAATTACTGACCAAAATACATTCTGCTACTTCTCCCGAGTATGGGGATTCCACATGTGAGACTTTTTGGCAGTCTAGCCAAGTACAGGACTCCAAAATCCAATAAGCACCTTCAGGCTTTTAAAGGGCTTTATTTCCTCATTACACTTTCTGACTACCTATCACAGTTTCGGAGGCCCTGAAATGCCAGGATAGCACCTAACTCCCCAAATGACCTCTTTTTGGAAAGTAGACACCCCAAGAAGCATGGTGAGTATTTTGCAGATCTTGTTTGTTGCCACAAGTTTTGGAAAATGAAGAAACAAAACAAAAACATATTTTTTCTTTTCTTTTTTTTATATTTCAAAACCTTGTGAAAAAAAAGAATATCTGCAAAATAGTCATCATGCCTCTTTTAAAAAAACTTGGGGTGTCTACTTTCCAAAAAGGGGTCATTTGGGGGGGGGGGGATTGGTGCTATCCTGGTATTTCAGGGCCTCCGAAACTGTGATAGGTAGTGAGGAAGTGAAATGAGGAAGTTAAGCATCTTCTTGTGGAAAAAATAAATAAATCTCCCTGGACTCAACTTGCCTCTCAACAGATAGCTTAGGGTGTCTACTTTCTGAAAAGGGGTCATTTGGGAGTGTTTGTACTATGCTGGTATTTTAATACCTCAAGAAATGTGATAGGCAGTCAGAAAGTAAAAGCTGTGTAAATTCTATTATCTATACCAGGGGTAGACAACCTGTGGCTCTCTAGCTGTTGTGGAACTACAGTTCCCATGAGGCTTTGCAAAGATTACAAAACTGACAGTTACAGCTATGACTTGCAGAGGCATGATGGAACTTGTAGTTCTGCAGCTCTCAGGTTGCCTACCCCTGATCTATACCATAGTTTGTAGATGCTATATCTTTCACACAAAGCAATCAATATACACTTATTGGGATTTTTTTTCAAGCAGCAGATATAGGGCAAAACAGCCTCTGCAGAACCCTTAGGACCTTTTCTGCCAGAAGCCTTTTGTGAATCCAAACTAACAAAAAAATGAAAAGTGGGTTTTGCCATCAGAATCTTTGAAATTTGCTCCAAATTTAACATGCAGAACCAGCTCTACTCACGTTATTGTAAAACTGAATGTCTATGTAAAGTTCTCGAACTATTATATCAGGAGACCAGGATCAGCTCCACTTTATGGTGCTAAAGACCCTCACCAGAATTTTCAATGTTTGTCTTACAGACTTTTGAGAAATCCTGAGGCTCTTTTTTGGTAGATAAGTGCTATAGGTGAATAGACAACCATTCAAGGGATCACCTATCTAATTGTTTTATTCCAGATTGTCAGAAGCCACCTTGTGTAGGTAGCTGTATAATGACGAAATTGCATCAAATATCTAGGTTGGTGTCATAGCTCTTACCTTCTTGTCCAGACCATAAGCTATGGCAGCTGCAGTTGGCTCATTGATGATACGGAGGACATTGAGACCAGAAATGGTTCCAGCATCTTTAGTTGCCTGTCTCTGGGAATCATTGAAGTAAGCCGGAACAGTGATCACTGCATTAGTGATTGTCTAAAGAGAAAAAAAATTACAAATTCAGGGTACCAAAGCTTTTGAAAAATCTGATTTAGATATTGATCCTGTGCTATCTATATACTGTACTGTAGTATCGACTTGTGGTGGGGTAAGCCATAGGAGATGCTGGTAAAATCATATAAACGAATACAAGTAAATACACCAATAAATTAACATCTTAGTTACTGTCTCACCTGAATAGACTAGTAAAGTTTAATACATTTACTTGCATCTTGGTTAAACCTGTCAAAAAATGCATAAGCTGAGGTTTACTTCTGTGAAAGCTTGTCATCATTGCAATATGCAAAATATCCATATGCAAATCTAAGCTTTCTGTAAGAACAGATCTTTGAGCCTACCCTCCCATCTCTGTTGGTTCCTAAAGTTAAATTCTACTGAGCTTTTAAAAATAAATTTTGTGCACCCCCACTCCCCCTCCACCTCCAGTATAAATAGTATAAATGCATCAACTCTGTACGCATTACTGTAAAACATATACAGTATAGTGATACTACAAACAGTATAAATCCTCAGTTTAGGGGGGTGTAAAATAGAGGAATACTTACCTTATTGTTCATTTCCTCTACAGCTGGTCCTCTGCAGCATCTTATATGGGATGGGTCCTGCTTTGTAGGTGATGATGTTGGTGAGGAAGCAGCCACATGCACAGCAACAATTATCCCTCTGCCTCATGCCAGAATGAAAAGCATTTACCCTTACTATAACGGGAGGGGGGCACCCAATATGTATTTTTGAAGGCAGACAGGAGTTCAGCTTCAAAGTTATATTAAAGGTTCAGATGTTTTCTTTTGAAAATAACACACGTTATACTTCTTTTTGCTGTGCAGGGGTGTATTTACCTCAAGCCAGACAAGAAATTTGCCTAGGGCGGCATTTTTCAGTGGGGCAGCACTGCCCCCCAGAAGAAGGATCACACACCACATGGTGACCAGGTGGGTTTCAAGAGAGCCTGCGTGCTGCTCGACGGTGTATGCAGATCCTGACTCTAGTTCTGTGAATGTCCAGAGCTGTGAAGGTGAGTGTGTGAGTTTCTTTCTCTCTCTCTTGCCAGGGATGGGAGGTGGGTGGCAGTGAGTGCATGGGGGAAGCAGTGGTAGTGGAAGACTCTCTCGGCCAGGAAGGTGGGGGGGGGTGGTGTTGGCTGGTGTCAAGCTCTATCCTTTGGGGGGGTTGGTTGCTGGTTGATGTTATTCTCTCTCCGCGGTTGGGGGGGGGGGGGGTGTTGGTCAGTGTCAGGCTCTCTCCTTTGGGGGGTTGTTGGTCAGTGTTATGCTCTCTCCACAGTGGGGGGGGTGTTGGTCAGTGTCAGGCTCTCTCCACGTTGAAGGTTGGGGGGGAGAGATGTTTGTGTTTCCTAGGGCAGCACAAAACCTAGATACACCACTGCCTCTGTGTAATGGTTTTGCACAAAGCAGCCCCGATCCTCCTCTTCTTGGGTTCCCCAACAGCGATCCTGGCTCCTTCCCCCTGCTGAGTGCCCCCTGAGAAAAAGCCGTTTGTTCTGGGGTCACTCGTGCTTGCCGCCTCTGTGTGTCAATAAGACACAAGAAGCATGGCTTGGCCCCACCCCCCACTCCCTCCTCTACTGGCTGTGATTGACAGCAGCTGGAGCCAATGGCACCCGCTGCTATGTCTGAGCCAATGAGGAAGGAGAGACCCAGGAGATCTGCTGCTCTCATACACATCGCTGGATCAAGATCAGGCTCAGGTAATTAATAGGGGACTGAGGGGGAGCTGCACACTGCAGATTTTTTTTACCTTCAAGAATGCATAAAAGTAAAAAAAAAACTTCAGCCTTTAGAATGACTTTAAAAAATTCCAGGTATGGCAATTTTTACAGAGTTACATTGATCCAGCTTGAACTAACGTACATATGTACAGTATTTGCGATATCTGTGGGATCCCCATAGAAACTTGAAATCACTGAAGTATGCACCATTCTACAGTGATCTCAGCCAGCTTCTGGGTACCATGCTAAGCAGTTCGGTAAATCAGAGAACAGTTTGCATTTATTGTTTTGAGTAAGGAACAGGGAAGCCACTTGCCACTAGTCTGGGAGGATAGCAGCAATCAATGTAGTAGTGGTGTCTAATTCAGTGACTTCCAGCTTCCATGAGGATCCAACAGGTATGTTTCATTGATCCAAGCTGGACCAATGTAACTATGTAAAAATTGCCATACCTGGAATTCAGCTTTAAGGGTTATATGCAGCCTTACTGGCCAATAAGAGGCATAGCCAAGCTCAGCTTGTACAAGGAAAGTCGGGATATGCATATAGCTCAGTATGTCTGCATTGCTTGATCTGGTGATTTTCACAGAAAGTCACCTCTGCTTATGTATATTTTCATTGTCCCTTTAACCTGAATTACAGGGTTTGCTGTAAATGTATAATTCTTCATTCATCAAAAAGGAAACAAATAGAACAGGTTTAGTCTTACTATTTGATTGATTTTGATACATGGCATGCTCTGTGTATTTGAATGCTAAGAACTAAAACAATCAATAATTCTCCACACTGCCAAACAGACCTATTTTATCACTCTCATTAACACCTTCTCACGCAATCCCCGTCAACTGTTTTCTACCTTTAACTCTCTACTTCATCCTTTACTTCCACCCACTAACCCACTCACTGCCCAGGAGATCGCTAATCACTTCAAAAATAAGATTGATTACAATTTGTGACAGATCTCCACTGTACAGATATCTCCCTCACCCTACACTCCTTGTCCACCTGCACAATCTATACTTCCGTTGTTTAACCCAACTACTATAGAGGAGGTTGGTAAACTTTTTTCTAAAGCCCACCTAAACACCTGTCCCCTGGACCCTGTTCCCTCGCAAATACTACGGTCACCCTCTGGCTCTATTATTCACTCTTTAACACATATCTTCAATCTCTTCCTTTCTACTGGCATCTTCCCTAAAACATGTGCTAGTCACCCCGTACTTAAAAAGGCCTCACTGGACCCCACCAATCTTAGCAACCTAAGACCCATCTCCTTATTCACTTTTACCTTCAAACTCCTTGAACGTCTAGTCTACAACCGGCTGAGCTGCTACCTTACTGAGAATAACCTTCTCGATCCCCTTCAATTTGGATTTCACCCACAACACTCCACAGAAACTGCCCTCCTAAAACTCACAAACAACTTGCTAACAGCTAAAACCAATGGACACTATTCCGTACTCTTACTCTTGGACCTCTCCGCTGCCTTGGACATAGTTGACCACCCCCTCCTCCTCAAAAAACTTTATTTACTTGGTTTCCATTGGTTCAAATCTTACCTATCTCACCGCACCTTCAGTGTCACTTACAACTCTACTTCTTCCTCTCCTACTCCTCTAACTGTAGGGGTCCCTCCAAGGTTCTGTCTTTGGACCTCTTCTATTCTCGATCTTCCTTGGGTCAGCTGATAGCTTACCATGGTTTCCAATACCATTTCTATGCTGATGACACACAAATCTATCTCTCTACTCCTCAGCTTACCCCATCAGTTCCTCACGTATCACCGATTTACTAACAGACATATCAGCCTGGATGTCACACCACTTCCTAAAACTCAATATATCCAAAACTGAGCTCATAATATTTCCTCCCCCACGTTCCTCTTCCCCTGATTTCTCCGTCAGGATCAATAGCACCGCTATCAACCCATCCCCACATGCCAGGGTGCTAGAGGTAACCATGAATTCTGAACTATCCTTTCAGGCCCACATCCAATCCCTGTCCAAATCATGCTGCCGCAACCTCTGCAACATCTTCAGAATATGCCCCTTTTTTAACCAATGATACCACAAAGCTCCTAATTCACTCCCTGGTTATCTCTTGCACTGACTACTGCAACTCCCTCCTCATTAGCTTACCTTTACATAGACTATCCTCCCTCCAGTCCATCATGAATGCTGCTGCCAGGCTCATCCACATTATCAACCATTCAGTGTCTTCTACCCTTCTCTGCCAATCCCTCCACTGGCTCCTGCTCGCTTAACAAATAAAAAATCAAAATACTGACAACAACTGACAAAGCCATCCACAACTCTGCCCCCAGCTACATTACCAACCTGGTCTCAAAATATCAACCATACCGCTCTCTTCGATCCTCCCCCAAGATCATCTGCTCTCTAGTTCCCATGTCACCTCCTCCCATGCTCACCTCCAAGACTTCTCCCGAGCTTCTCCTATCCTATTGAACTCCTTACCCCAATCTGTCCGACTATCCCCTAATCTATCCACCTTCAGATGATCCCTGAAAACCGTTCTCTTTAAAGAAGTCTATCCTGCTTCTAACTAGTAAACTGCCTTTTATTTCCTCCATCAGCTCATCCCCCACATCTATTACCTTTTGTAATACTCAACCCTTCCTCTTAGATTGTAAGCTCTAATGGGCAGGGCCCTCTGTTTCCTCTTGTACCAAATTGTATTGTAACTGTAATGTCTGCCTTCATTTTGTAAAGCGCTGCGCAAACTGTTGGCGCTATATAAATCCTGTATAATAATATAAAATCCTGTATAATAAAAATTCTTCAGGTGGCAAAGAACCACTGGATTACTCAGAGGGGTTGATTAACTAAAACTGGAGAGTGTAAAATCTGGTGCAGCTGTGCATAGAGACCAATCAGCTTCCAGTGGTTTTTTTTGTTTTTTTTTCAAAGCTTAATTGAACAAGCTGAAGGTAGAAGCTGATTGGCTACTATACACAGCTGCACCAGATTTTGCACTCTCCAGTTTTAGTAAATCAACCCCCAGTGTGTATTTAACAGGTGTATTAGAGACGAATTTCAGCTGTTTTTATCATTGGACTGCCATAGGTGGTCTTTAGAAAAAAAAAGTAAATATAAGAAAAGGAAAATAAGAACCATGTCACCTTTAAAAGTCCAGAGTGGTATTTTATTAAAAATAGCAAAAAAAAGCCACTGCGTTTTGGGGATTGGGAGAGCCCCTTTCTTCAGGGCTATAAATATATAAAGCTGTA